ATATTATAATAAAGCATTTTTTTCTTGTAGCTGTTAGTATTTAATTTTTATTTTTTGTTTTATTTTATTATAAAATATCACTTTGTATGCTCAAAATGTTATGCCAAAATCATTATTTTTATTATTATTATTATTTATTATAAAATTAAATGCCAAAACCTTAAAAAAAATATAATTTTTAGTATTTAAAAAATAAACTCAAACTTTTATTCTAACTAAGTCCTTAATGTCCTTTTTGCAATACATTTATGTACTTTTTACAATTTAAGAACATTTTATTTTTTATTCATTTTTAAAGAAACAGAAATAGTTTCAAAAACATATTTGTAATTTACTTATTATACTTACATAAATGGTGTGTTGTATCAATTTTAAATTTAAAAGAAAGAAAAAAATATTATTGCAAAAATGAAAATTAAAAAATATACATTGTAAACTTGTGTGTAGCAAGAAATTTATAAAAAAAGTATAGATTTTAATAAAAGTAAAAGTAAAGTGTTTTTAATGTCATCAGGAGGACCGGAAAATTTGGTCCCTAATGAACTAGAACTGAACTAGTACTGAACTAGAATTGAACTACACTAGAACTGAACTAGAACTGAACTAGAACGTGAACTAGAACTGAACTAGAACTGAACTAGAACTGAACTAGAACTGAACTAGAACTGAACTAGAACTGAACTAGAACTGAACTAGAACTGAACTAGAACTGAACTAGAACTGAACTAGAACTGAACTAGAACTGAACTAGAACTGAACTACACTAGAACTGAACTACACTAGAACTGAAGTACACTATAAACTGAACTACACTAGAACTGGAACTACACTAGAACTGAAACTACACTAGAACTGAACTAGAACTGAACTAGAACTGAACTAGAACAGAACTAGAACTGAACTAGAACTGAAGTAGAACTGAACTAGAACTGACTAGAACTGAACTAGAACTGAACTAGAAACTGAACTGGAACTAGAACTGAACTAGACTGAACTAGAACTGAACTAGAACTGAACTAGAACTGAACTAGAACTGAACTAGAACTGAACTAGAACTGAACTAGAACTGAACTAGAGCCTGAACTAGACTGAACTAGAACTGAACTAGACGACTAGAACTTACTAGAACTGAACTAGAACTGAACTCGAACTGAACTAGAACTGAACTAGAACTGAACTAGAACTGAACTAGAACTGAACTAGAACTGAAACTAGAACTGAACTAGACACTGAACTAGCACTGAACTAGAACAAAACTCGAACTGAACTAGAACTGAACTAGAACTGAACTAGACTGAACTAGAACTGAACTAGAACTGAACTAGAACTGAACTAGAACTGAACTAGAACTGAACTAGAACTGACCTAAACTGAACTAGAACTGAACTAGAACTGAACTAGAACTGAACTAGAACTGAACTAGAACTGAACTAGAACTAAACTAGAACTGAACTAGAACTGAACTAGAACTGAACTAGAACTGAACTAGAACTGAACTAGAACTGAACTAGAACTGAACTAGAACTGAACTAGAACTGAACTAGAACTGAACTAAAACTGAACTAGAACTGAACTAGAACTGAACTAGAACTGAACTAAAACTGAACTAGAACTGAACTAGAACTGAACTAGAACTGAACGAGAACTGAACTAGAACTGAACTAGAACTGAACTAGAACTGAACTAGAACTGAACTAGAACTGAACTGATCTAGAACTGAACTAGAACTGAACTAGAACTGAACTAGAACTGAACTAGAACTGAACTAAAACTGAACTAGAACTGAACTAAAACTGAACTAGAACTGACCTAGAACTGAACTAGAACTGAACTAGAACTGAATTAGAACTGAATTAGAACTGAACTAGAGCTGAACTAGAACTGAACTAGAACTGAACTAGAACTGAACTAGAACTGAACTAGAACTGAACTAGAACTGAACTAGATCTGAACTAGATCTGAACTAGAATCTGAACTAGAACTGAACTAGAACTGAACTAGAACTGAACTAGAACTGAACTAGAACTGAACCAGAACAGAACTAGAACAGAACTAGAACAGAACTAGAACAGAACTAGAACAGAACTAGAACAGAACTAGAACAGAACTAGAACAGAACTAGAACAGAACTAGAACAGAACTAGAACAGAACTAGAACAGAACTAGAACGGAACTAGAACAGAACTAGAACAGAACTAGAACAGAACTAGAACAGAACTAGAACAGAACTAGAACAGAACTAGAACAGAACTAGAACAGAACTAGAACAGAACTAGAACAGAACTAGAACAGAACTAGAACAGAACTAGAACAGAACTAGAACAGAACTAGAACAGAACCAGAACAGAACTAGACAGAGCTAGAACAGAACAGAACTAGAAAGACCTAGAACTGAAATTAAAAGTTTTTAATGAGTACTAAGTGCATTTCCCAGCCATTTGAAAAAATTGTCTTTTTTTATAAAAACAAACAAAAATATTGTTTTTTTCACTGTTAGATACATTTTTAAAATAAATTCCTTATTGCAATTAAATTTTCATATAATAGCCATGAAATATTTCACCACACTTCTGTTTGCAACAAACTTTTATACTAGAAAATAAATCTTATTTTGTGCACCCTGTTATATGTCTTGACATCTAAGCATTCTCAAACACCCTGTTGGCAGAGACTTGCGTCGATTCGGCTTAATCCGACTTAGCCTAGCCGCGAACAAAATGTCAAAGCCGCCGCCGACGAAGTGCAGTTGATGTCAATTCTGCCGACTGCGAAAAGAAATTCTGCTAGAATTTTTCGCGCCAAACTGTTTTCTGCGTTTTTGCAAAACAGTTTGTTGTTGTGTGTGTGCAAAAATCTAAAATGACAGAAATGATATTCTTTAAATAAAAAATTTTTTTACTAACAATTGAAATTAATAAGATTGTATGCTATACTACTATACCGAGGGTCATTGTGCAAAGAAACAGCAAGTGTTGTTGGGTTTAATTTAGTTAAATTGTAATAACTATGATGAAAATGTTTTTCCAGGCGGGGTTTGTTTTCGTTAATACCGAAAAGTTTTTAGATTTGGCATATTTGTGAGATCTAGAAGATTAAAAATGTAAGTATGGTGTTAATTAATTATTTATTGTCTATAAAGAAACGTCTTCTTTTCAAGAAAGAGGAGGCATCATGATGGTCTCCTGGAAGAATGTCCACAAGAGAGTGGCAATTGTATACCTCCCTAGTCACCTAGGCGGGTGGTGGTCGGTCGGCTAGTGGTGACATGGTGTATTATCACCTAGAGGCAATGGACGGAAGCTGATTGCCGTATTCAGGGCGTATCCTTCGGATACATACTTATGTTATGTTTAATACTACTTGTTTAAATTTGATTCTTAAACGTTTGTAGTAACTTATGATTTTTGTTTACTTTTTGAAGTTTATGTTTTAAATTTGAAATTATTCGATTGATAATTTTTCATTGCTGTATATCTAAATTTAAATAAAGAAATACGTTATTTTTTAAAAACACAATATTGGTGTCAGAAGTGGGATATAATGAGTATGTCCCAAGAGCAACTATCGAATGTTATGGAATTACTGGCAGGAGCAATTCGCTCTGCAGTTGCAGATGTGGCGCAGACTGCATCCATGGGTTTTTCGTCGCCTTCATCTTCTGCAGAATTGAATTCAAAACCACCACAATTTTCAATGGTTGAATATAAACAAGAAGATGGAGGATCAGTTTCTGATTATTTTACTAGGTTCGACTGGGCGTTGCAGTTGTCGAGAGTTGCAGAAACTGAGTATGCAAATTACGCACAAGTGCATATGGGCACACAACTGAATACAGCTTTAAAAATATTAACAAGTCCGAGATCGCCAGGAGAATTAAATTATGCTGAAATCAAAGACATTCTGATTCGTCATTTCGATGGAAAGAAAAATAAATATGCAGAAAGCGTGAAATTTAGACAATGAAACAAGAACCGGGAGAATCAGTAGCAAAGTTTAGTCTTCGATTGAAAAATGGAGCAGTTTTCTGCGAGTACGGCCAATTTTTAGACAGGATGCTTATTGAGCAGCTTTTAATGGGGCTAGAATCTGCAACTATTTGTGATGAACTGATTGCAAAACAACCACAGAGCTTTAGTGAAGCATACGAGATAGCTTATGCTAGAGAACTAACTCATCATGCAACAAAAGAAGTTAACTCCAGCAATGAGCCTTCGCAACCGGAACAAACATTCAAGTTAGGTTTTGCTCCAGTTAAAACCAAAAATAAAATAGTAAATCTGATGCTGTATTTCCAAATAAAGGTAAATGTTACGGGTGTAATGGGAATCACACGAGAAACAACTGTAAATTTAAGAGTGCGAAATGCTTCGCTTGTGGTAAGATCGGTCATATTTCTAAGGTATGTAAAAGTAAAACTGGTCAAGTAACGATGGAACAGGACGAAGAAAACGATTCTGTTGAGCAATTGCGTTTTATAAATAAAATTAAATTTTCAAAACCGTATGAAAAGAAAATGATATTTGTGAGTATCGATGGTAGGAAATTGGAAATGGAGCTTGATACTGGTGCTCCTTGTAGTATAATTAGCAAGAAACGCTTACGTGCTATCAAACCCTATTACACTTTACATAAATCTGACAGAAAATTTGCTAGCTATACAGGTCACTCAATAAATTGTATTGGCAGAGTTGTAGTAAATGTGACTTTGGGAAAAACTTCTCGTGTCTGAATTTATATGTTGTAGAAGATGATTTAGACACTTTGTGCGGCCGTGAATGGATAAGTCATTTTGCACATGATATTAATTTTTCAGATCTATTCGCATCTACACCGCCAAATAATAACTCTCCAAACGATAGCTTTAGTTTAAATACTATTACTTCCGATGTGTCGATATTAAATTCTATTGAAAAAAATCAACTACAACAAATTGTAGATAAATTTGATGATGTATTTGGAAGTTCAGCTGGAAAGCTAAATGTCCTCCTATAAAGATTCATATGAAGCCGAATGCTAGACCCATATTCGCTAGACCAAGGGAAGTTCCTTTAGCTTTAAGAGAAGCATATGCCAAGGAAATTGATGCTAAAATTGCTGCCGGTATTATAAAAAAGTCGAATTCTCAGAATGGGCTTCCACGACCCATGTAGTAACTAAAAAAAATGGAGCTATACGTATTACTGGAAACTATAAACCTACGGTCAACCCTCAAATGATTATCGATGAGCATCCTATTCCAAAACCAGAAGATTTATTCAACAGAATTAAGGGTGCTACAATATTTGCTCATCTAGATGTTACCGACGCATATACGCATTTGCCAATAGATGAAGAGTTTGGACATGTTCTTACCTTAAATACTATTACTCATGGCCTTATACAACCCACTCGTGCAGTCTATGGGGCTGCAAACATTCCAGCAATATGGCAGCGAAAAATGGAAGAAGTTTTAAAAGGATTACCTAATTGTCTTAATTTCTTCGATGATATACTATTATTTGCAAAAGATTTTAATGAATTACAACAAATTTTAGATTTAACTTTGGCCCGAATTAGACAGTGCGGTCTTAAATTAAACAAATCGAAGTGTGTTTTTGCAGCAACGTCAGTGGAATTTTTAGGGCATTTAATTGATGCCAAGGGTATACATAAGTCAAATAAGCATATTGAATCTGTATTGAACGCACCGAAACCAAACTCCTTAGAAGACTTGCAGCTATTTCTAGGTAAAGCCTCATACTATAGTGCCTTTATTCCGGATCTAGCAACCCGTGAGAGGCCATTACGAGATATTCTAAAATCAAAGGTATTTTCATGGAATTTAATCGCGGATGCTGCTTACAACGATATTAAGAAAATTTTAGTATCTCCACAAGTTTTAATATCATATGATCCAAACTACCATTATTGTTGGCAACGGATGCTAGTAAAAACTGGCTTGGGCGCGGTATTGTTCTCACCGTTTACCTAATGGCGAAGAACGACCTATAGCATACGCAAGTAGAACAATGAGTGTGACAGAACAACGTTACTCTCAAATAGATAAAGAGGCTTTGGCCATAGTATGGGCCGTTCAAAAATTCTTTAAATATTTATATGCACGGCATTGGACATTAATAACCGATCACAAGCCACTTACTCAGATTTTGCACCCTAGTAAATCGCTTCCAGTTCTTTGTATTCTCGTATGGCAAACTATGCCGATTTTTTAAGTAACTTTGACTTCGAGATAATATATAAACCATCCAAAGAGAATATTAATGCAGATTACATGTCACGTATTGTTCCAGATAATTCAGTAAAGTCACAATGCAACGAAAATTATGTAATTACTGAATACGACGAGTTTGATACTTTTATTTTCCGACAAATTAACCAGTTACCCGTTACAGCTGAAAAAATTGCCAATGAAACCCGTAAAGATTCAGTACTTGGAAAAATAGTTGCAATATTAGAGAAAGGACATTCGTTGGAAAAATATGGTTATACTGCACCAGAATCGAATTATAGACTCTCAGGTAATTGCTTAATATTCGAACACAGAGTTGTAATTCCACAAAAGTTTCGAAAAGACATTCTTCAAAATCTACACGCAGCTCATTTAGGGATGGTAAAATGAAAGGTATTGCTCGTTCCTTTGTGTATTGGCCAAAAATCGATGCAGATATTGAAGCTGTGGCAAAAGACTGCAACGATTGTGCAAGAGTAGCAAATAAACCTAAGAAGTATACAGATCATCACTGGGAATATCCCAAAGGGCCTTGGGAACGAGTGCATATAGATTATGCTGGCCCTTTCGAGGGTATGATGTTACTAATTATTACAGATGCCTATAGCAAATGGCTGGATGTGAAAATAACTAAATCTATGACAGCTGAGGCAACAATTGCATTAGTCGATGAAGTTTTTGCAAATTACGGTGTTCCTGCGATGGTAGTATCCGATAATGGTACAAATTTCTCATCAGAAGAGTTTAACAAATACTTGACGGCTGTGGGAGTCAGATATCATAAATACACTGCACCTTATCATCCCTCTACTAACGGCCAAGCTGAACGTAGCGTTCAAACAGTAAAAAACGCATTAAAAGCTATGTGTACATCAAAACAAACATTACAACAAAATCTCAACGAGTTTTTAAGGCAGTATAAGAATGCACCTCATTCAACAACTGGAGTATCTCCAGCACAACTTTTTCTAGGCCGTCAAATTCGCACCCGTCTTGATTTAGTACATCCAGAAAATGTTTCTTCTAAAATAACAAATAAACAATTTTTGAAACAACATGAGCAATTTAGAGAGTTTCAAGTGGGTGACAATATATATTTTTTATCCGGTAATCAAAAGGAAAGCAAATGTATACCAGGTAAAATAAATAGGCGTTTAGGCGATATTCATTACGAAATTCTTTATGAAAATAAGTATGTACGAAGACATATTGATCAAATTCGTGGTGCTACTCAAGGTGTACAAAAGGATGTGGTAAATGGAAACCTGAGTTATGGAAACAGAAGATCTGAGGAAAACAGGTCTTATAGGAGTATTATATATCCAGAAAATATGAATGATAATGTTTTAGTCCCCAGACATCCCGCTCCTAATCTTCAGCATCCTGAAATAATTCAAGTACTCCTAATAATGCAAGAGATCCAGTAAATGAAGATAATGTTGTCCGCTCTCCTGTTCGAGAAAAGGACACAGATGATGAATTTGAAACACCACAAGCTGGTCAAAATCAAAACCACCCGCAAACACCACATTACAAAACAGCGCAAGCGCGACGAGAAGAAACCAGTGAACAGTTAAATATAGAGAATTCACATTTACCAAGTGATCAGCATCTACGACGATCAAAAAGGATTCCAAAACCAAGAGTTTTATTTTCACCTGACAATTCCTAAAGGAAGAGATAAATGTTATGTTTAATACTACTTGTTTAAATTTGATTCTTAAACGTTTGTAGTAACTTATGATTTTTGTTTACTTTTTGAAGTTTATGTTTTAAATTTGAAATTATTCGATTGATAATTTTTCATTGCTGTATATCTAAATTTAAATAAAGAAATACGTTATTTTTTAAAAACACAATAACTTATTATTATACCATTGATCTCAGCAGAATCACTACCATACACCCATAATAGAGCGCGATGTCTGTCTGGTGTGGCTTCAGTGAAGCTCTTGTTTTCTCCAAACACTATGGTGGCCGAATATTTACAAGAAACAATTGTTAAGCCGCCTTTTATACAAATTTATAGCTTTGTAGAGAATGTATTCACGGACCTAGAGGATATAACCTGGCAAGGTATGTAGATGTTGTTTGGGCAAAATATTGGTACTAACCATTGTGGGCTTTATGTCGACTTTAGATCCCTTATAGTTGTCACACTATACCAAATAAGCATTCTTGCTGGAATTAAAGTTTAAAACAAGTTTAATTCCATTCATTACACTTTAATTCAATAGCATTCTCCAGTGAAAACGAAACTTGAATTCAAGTCGAACATTACAATGTTTTTACAGTATAATTCAATGCACGAAATCTATATACATATATAAAATTTTAACGTTACTGACTGACTGACTGATTCATCATCGTAGAGCCTAAACGGTTGAAGCTAAAGAGCTGAAATTTGGGCAGGAGGTTGGTCTCCCACCAAATGTATCCAATAAGGCGAGATTTTTGGAAATTCGAATTTTTTGGGGGTTAAAAAAAGGGTAAAAACGTAAACTAGAAAAGTTACAAAAATAGTTAAAGTTCATTTAAAAAAAAGCGAACAGGTGTCCGGTAATTTTTTCAAATTCGGCCCCTTTGGGGAATAAACGGGTAAAAACTGTAATTTGATACTTCTTTTGCACCCCATGTATCTTTAAAATCAGAGAACATTCAAAAAATATGTTTGAATCCTTTATAAGTTGACGAACAAATAAAAATATGAATTTTGTACTTTTTGGATATTCGGACGTTTAAGGGGTGAAAATTGTACCTATTTTTGGTACTTTTTTTATAAAACATTGTTTTTGGTTTATTAACTTATACACATGAATACATAATAACGGGCTCCCCAATACGATGTTGCAATTTTTTGGAACAGAATTTTTATTTCGTTAATGGGGAGGAAAAAAGTACCAAAAGGGGTAAAAATGGGAAATTTGATTTTATTCAAGAAACACTTAATATGCTAATGGGGTGTTATTTGGAACACCGGTACTTTATCGTACTTCGACTGGTACTTTTTGAGTTTTCCATAAATTAAACCTAGAAACAATAATAAATATGTAGAACCCGAAGTAAATTATAATCTATAAAAAGGGACTTTTTAGTACTTTTTCGATCTTCGACTGTACTTTTTGAATTTTTTATAATTAACCTAGAAACATGAAATTAGGAATGTACAGCCCGGATTAAGTGATAACATATAAAAGGGGACTTTTGGTACTTTTTTCGTTTTTTAAAAAGTATTTTTTGAATTTTCTATAATATTGAACCTATAGACAAGAAATTAAACCTGTAGGGCATGGAGTTAGTACTAAATAATACCATAATAAAACAATTTTTGTTGGAACGAAAATATGTTAATGTAAATATGTATATGAAATCTTCTTCAGAAAATGACTTAAACGCACATAAATGGCTTTTAAATGTCGATGTCGACGAAAAAAACATTTTAGGAACCGAAACCCACATCTATGAAAAATAAAATTATGAGGATCGGTCCGCCAATATAACCAATTACGGTGACGTTCTTATTAATCTAATGATTAAAGTCCATATATATATGTATATGACCACTTCCGAAATTTGCTTTTTTACGACAAATGATTTGCCGAATATAACTCTTACTCCTTACTTATTTTAATCATAAGAAATTACCGCTAAAATAGGAATAGTCTGCCTTTAGAGTTGCGAGTTTTCATACACTCTAATAATGTTTTCAAAGTGAAACTTTTGGAATATTTTCAATCTCTTTGTGATCCCTTTAAATGAGGTTGTTCTGGAAGAAACTTTAACATCCATGTAAAAATTTTGGGTAATAAATTGGGGGACTACCAATGAGGGGAGCGGAACCTCCCATATAAATTAAATACAAAAATTCGTTTATCTGGGAAACTAATAGAACTAAATTCATCAAATTTTGCACGAAGAACTTTAATATTCATCTGAACATTTTGGAGAAAAAAGGGCGGACTTTCATCTTGGGGGCTTGGAGCTCCCATATGAATTAAATAGAAAAATTCGTATATCTGAGAAACTATTAGAGCTAGAATCTTAAAATTTTACTGAAGAACATTTAGAGAAATTGCAATAATTTGCGTGGAATCTCCCATATGTAGCAACTTGTATATCTGGAAATACCATTGTAGTTAGAATCATCAAAATCGTTATGTGGGTTTCTTATTTATATTGCTTTTAGGGTGGCACAGCACACTGGGTATAGCTAGTAAATAAACAAATAAAATATTCTTTGTTTTACGTTATTGATAATTTTCTTAATGCAAATTTTTTTTAGAAACTGATTTCTGCAAGATGTTTTATATGCAGGATAGAGTTAAAATATCGGCAGATCCTCGTAAAACTTGGAGAAAGGATTTGTTTTTAATTTTTAAGAATTTTTTATTCATCCCTGCATAATTTCTCACACAACTTTTGAGCGTGCTCTGTTTTGTTGTTATAAACATTTGCTTCCAAAATCCCACTTTCTGATCTCTCGGATTCCGTTTTTATTTAAAATCGTTGAAAATTTAAAAACTAAACGTAGTTGAAAACGGCTTACAGTCAATTTTAAGCCGCCGCCGACATATTTAGTGTCAGTCGCCGCCGCCGTTAATATTTGTCGGCGCAGGGCTCTGCCTGTTGGCGAATGTTTTGTAACAGCTGTTGGTAAATTGTCAAATTTGACATTTAGTTGATTGAGTTTGCTGTTTTGTATGAAATTACGTAAAATTTAACACAGGTTAGTGAATTTTAGTTAAATTTTTTGTAATAAATGGAAAAAATAAACAAAAAACTAAAAAAATAATTAAAGCAGTATAAGGAAATGTTGAAAATAAAACATTATTAAAAACTAATTGCTATAAAAAACCAAAGATAATAGTGGCGATAGCAGAGAAAGCAAAGTTTGAAATTTTCGCACAAACCAACATGTCGGAACAAGAATTTTTTTAATATTTAACTTTTTGTTGCTAAATATGAGTTTAATTTTTGGTTATTTATTCTAGTCAACATGTCTTTAGTAAAGGCCGGCTATTATGATAAGCCCGAAGGGCAAGATTGTTATGGCAAAATGTTGGCCACCAATTCCTATGCTGCTGCCGCCGGCTTAGCCTGGTCTACCATAGATGTATTGATGTTGTCACACACCAAAGGCTATATACCCACAATGGCACGTTTTGCCTACAATATTGGTCCCATGATGGGTATGGCTTCGGCCTTTACTTTGACCACTTATATTGCCACAAATGCCAGAGGCAAGGATGATAGGTAAGTTTAAGGGGTAACATTTTTAGAAAGAAACTATTAATGCCTTTGCGATTATTACAGACTAAACTATTTCTTGGGTGGCATGGCTGCTGGTGGTGTCTATGGTGCCTGGAGACGCAATCATGTTGCTGGTCTTGTTATGGGTTTGGCATTTGGTAAGTAATTCAATTTGAATTTGGCCTCCTAAACACCTTAGCAGATTTGAAGAATTCTAATCTGATTTCAAATCTGATAAGAATGGATGATTATATGAATTTCATTATATTTTTTTTTTATTTCAGGTATTGCTGGTGTTATTAAGAAAATTTCCCGTGAAGAAGGTTGGGAATTCTTCCCCGCTCTTAATCATCACGGTTTCATGGGTGTCAAAGAAAATGACTACACTTTGATGGCCGAACGTCCCAGAAATTGGACAACCGGCAAGGAAAGTTCTTAGAGAGCATTAGCAAATCTGTGTTTTTAGTCATTAGTTGAAAAAAATGTTAAATTTTACAAAACAGCCGTAATGAATTCGTGAAAAACCTACAAAACCGAAAATAAAATAAAACTTCTAAAGAACCAACTCAAAACAAAAATAAAAATAAATTTAAAGAAAATAATATTCTAAAAATTAAAAAAAAAAAAAACAAAATTGGACTCAAACATACAACTTATCAGTATTAGCAAGTGTATTCGATATCTAAAAATGCCTGCTAAAATTACAAATCTTTCAAAGAAAAATGTTCCACAAATCCTCATATACTAACAACTACCGCATTTTCATCAATCAAGATACCTTTTAAATCAAAATTTAGTTGCATGAAAAATATTCAAGAAAATTAATCAAGACATAAAGGTAAATCTTTTTGTAATTCCTACTAGAGATTTAGAACAAGATTTTTCATTATTTTATATCTATCTCACCTTCTTTTAGTTGTATTCTATTAGCAAATCTTTTTCCATTTTTCAAAAACTTTTACAAAAAACAATCATTAATTAAGCAGCTCATCTTAAGCCTTCTGTTTGGTCTTAAGAAACTGTAGTACTTACTTACTTACTTATATGAACTTATCCATAGATAATCTAAACCACAAGCTAACCCCAGATTTTGCAAAAGCATCTTTTTAAGCTACTCTTCATAGTAGTAAAAATTTATCAGCTGTTGCTTCCTGCGTTTCTTAACTTTTTTTGTATTGTTCAAGAAGTCATTATTACCACAAGTAGGAACACAACCACATACCAACAAATCAGCAGCAGCAACGGCAGCTGTGGTTTTGAAGTGTTTTAACCTTTTTCTTCTTTAATTTTTTTTTTGTATACATTAAAAAATTTGCAAAAAAAAAAAAATAAGTGATGTTAAAGGTTTTCTGGTTTGTTTTTTCTTTTGTTTCGTTTGCCAACTTACTCATCTTGTGTATTCTTCACTTATTTGTCGAACAT